GAGACCGTTTGTTTATAGGACCGGAGGGATTTGTGAGGATAGTGTTTTGATTGCATTGAAGTTTGAATTGAGTGAATCTGAGCCGTCGGTCTAAATGTAAGGGAGCTCCTTCTTTCTAACGGCTATAAAAAAATTTCTCGGTGGACCGCTTCGAAATTGCCCAATAGGCCCAGTCGGTGAGAACGCAAAGCGACGCTTAATTTCACGTCGTTCGTTTAATAGGATGCAACATTTACATCGTTGACCAATAGAACTAGGGATGTGCTATCCACACATTTTATTTTATTTCTCACACACGTTTTGATAATTTCTGTCCGTTGATCTTCTTCAATTCATCCGATCCGACGTTCGAAAATTCAAAAGGTGTGTGAGAAGTAAAATGGGTGTGTGGATCTCACACCCCTAGAACTAATTGCAAAGGGTAATTTAGGAAGATCAGCTTTTAAACTAAATTTTTGTAATCATAGGACGTGATTATTGATAATTAAGTTATTACTTATTTATTGATTAACGTGTTTATTTTTTAATGGTCACACATTATATAATTTGTAAATTTAGGCTAAAAAATTGGTATTATTCAATTGCATATACAATTTGTAGTGTTGTTTTACTTTCCAATAAGGCGATAAAACGTTCTAATTTTCTCACAATATTATTATCCTCAAATAAAAAACGTAAGCTCCACACATGCTACATAAACGATTCACGAAAGCCTACGAAATTATACACATTAGTAGTTTGAATGGTCAATATTTTTAACACTTTTTGATTAATACATAAAGATTGAAAGGTCATATCCATTTAGGGAAATTATTTCCAGAACTTCAAGAGAATGTTAATAACCTTCTTACTTACTTTCGTATTCAACATTTTCACTTTTACTTATGTCAAGTTTATTCTACTAGCACGCAAGTTAAGGGGTTAATTATTTTCTTATTGACAAATATTTTAACATAATTAAAATAGAGCTTTGAATGCCACTAGAGCACACTTGACATTAAAAGAAATGAGAGAGTTGAACTGAAAAAATAAGTGAGAAGATTATTAGCATTTCTAAACTTTAGTAGTGCATTTTATAATTATTTCTAAAATGTATAAAATGTATAAAATCGCTTTGATTGATTTTCTTCTTAATTTCTATAAAGATCTTCACTCAATACTCAAGTCAATCACAAAAGCAATAAAAATAATATTTATCTAATATAAAATAAAATCTCTCCAACTTTTGTACAAGTAATGATGGTGTCAGTGAGTTCATTGATGGCTTCCTCCACATCCCCATATTGCTTGTTTCACTTCTACTCCCTTTCTTCTGTTTCACTTATGCTCCATTTCTTCTGTTTCACTTCTACTCCCTTTCTTCTTCTTCAGTATCCAACTCCTCATTCTTCACACATTTGCCCTTATCTTGTTCTCACTCTATGTTCAATGGCTACACTGCAATTTCACTCACCAAGTCTTCTTCAAGAATTCTTGCCAAGTTTAATAAGTTCCAAGGTCTGATTCCCTTGGGAATTCTTGAAGATGCCAGACCACCACCATCTCTAGAAGCCCTTGAAGAAGATGACAGGTGAATTTCTCTACAAGCGATATTTTACTTTAAACTAAGATGACAGGAAATTTCGGACAGTACTTCGTCGATCTCTGCATCGGCACTCCTCCACATCGCCTCTTTCTCGTTTTCGATACCGACAGCGATCTCGTTTGGCTCACCTGCTCCGCTTGCATCGATTGCTCCAACCGCGAACCTAGGAAAAGGACCCCTCTTGTTTTCCTAGCAACTGAGTCGCTTGTTCAGGAACAAATTCTCGTAATGCCTCATGGAATACACCCTGTCCCCGTCGTCGAAAAGTTATCTTCGAATCAGAGGCAGCTCTCCGGACACCGTTGTTTCGAATTCGACACCAAACTTCAATCTTTGTGGCAACGTGTTGGGGGTGTGCGAGGCCAGGTCTGCCCAGGTTGAGTTTTAAACTCGTTGGGAACTCAATGTTTTGAATCCCTTCATTTTTATTTTTATTTTTTAATATCCACGTGTGTTGTCCATCCCGTATTTTATGGAATGAAGGGGTATTTCTGTATTTTTACTTTGGTTGGGTTTTATTTGTTTAAAATATTGCTTTTTGATGTTAAATGGTGTGCCCAAGGGGCCCACCCCTGATTTTGGTCCCCCGGCCCCTTTTTTTCTTTCTTTCCCTCCTCATTTTCCCATGCACTGTATCTTTTCTCTCTCTCTCTCTCACACCCTTCACCTTTGTCGACTCTCTCCGTTCCTCTCCGACGCATTCCCACACACACACCCACACTTACATACTCATACACAACCACCACCCCCTAGACCATCCTTTTCTCCCTCACCCCTCTCCCGATCACTCTCCCTCTCTTCTTGGCCTGCACCAGAGCACAATCAGTATGCTTGCACCTCATCGGAAAGTTTTCAACAGTGCAACTAAGGTAAGCCTCCTAAGATCCCTTTAGATCATGTTTTAGGTTAGTTTAGGGTGGTTTTGAGAACCTTGGTAACATTTGAACGTAGGAACAACTCGAGGAAGCATTCTCTATATTTTCCGACGAACCCCATAAGTTGTAGGCAATTTTCCGGTCAACTTCGGCCACCATACACCTTGAAATTGGTACGAATCTCTTCCTTGTTCCTTGGGCTTCATTTTGGTATATTGCATGACCTGTTTTGGTTACGTTTTGGGGTTGAATTGAGCTTAGAAAGCTCCGGCTTTCCTCGTCCTTGAAATCGGCCTGGAAACGGGCCAGGCTTAACCTAGAGACATTAACCCGACCTAATCCTTGGGCCAAGCTACCTGGCCCAATCTTGAGTCCAGCCTTTAAAGCCAAGTCCAAAACCTTTGTGGAACCCAGCCCAAAACTAAAGTAAGCAACCCAAAACCTAGGCCTTTGGGCCATTGAACTCAAGCCCAAACCACGGGCCTTTAGCCCAACCCATTTCAGACCAAATGAAATATTCTCGTGCTGACTTTTTGTTGACTTTTTCGAAATTTACCCGGGACCCTTTTAAGGGTAATTCGACGTCTTGAATCTGTTTTTTATGTCCGTTTTCCCAAATTCAATCGTTTGAATGGAGTTTTGTTAATTGGACCCTTTATGTGCTTAGGTGTATTTATTGTGGCATTTCCGTCTTCGCTAGTTTGCGTGGCTCTTCAGTGGCGAAGTATCTGTGAGTGGACCCCTTCTAAAATGCATGTTTTAATAGTAGAAATGCATACATGAAAAGCATGATTTAATGGTTATGTTTTATGAGTAAATTAAATTTACATTTTATGATTATCATACTTTACTGAGAATATTTTGGAATACCATATTTTATTGAACTTACACTCTTTGTAGTATACATGATGGATGACTATATACTATATAGAGGTTTTGAGGTATATGATATATGTTTTATGGAAAGATTATATTCAATGGTTTTGTGCATATCTAGTGGTCACTGTTCTACCTACGGGCGATGATACTTATATTGCCTTTGGGCGGGCATGTGTAGGGCATTGTTCTGTGTGTATAGGAGATGATACTTATATTGCCTTCGGGCGGGCATGTGTAGGGCACTATTTTGTGCTTACGGAAGAAGGCACTTATATTGGCTTCGTCCGGGCATTGGTAGATGGCTTTAGCCGGAAGATACTTATATATGATACCACTAGTTAGCACACTATACGATATATGTTTCGTGAAAGGTTTTATGGCATGCTAGGGTTTTTAGAAAAACCTATTACATATTATGCTACTGAGTTTTCATAAAACTTTGGGGGTTAGTATGTTGATAACTGTTTTAGTTATATATATATATATATATATATATATATATATCAATTTGGTTCACGTATGTTTGTTTCAGGATTTAAAATCGAGGCGTACAATCCTCGCGTCAAGGCACTTCCACATCGGCATCTTTGAGTCCTCTTGGTGTAGGACCCATTCTTCTATTCATTCAATTTTATATTCTTCCCTTTAGTGTTCTAGTTAGATTGTATGCTCTGAACACATTCCTCATTTGCATAATCATTGTATTTAAATTTATAAGTATTGTTTATAATTATTATTTCTCATGCATCCTAATATGGCTTCGTCACCTTTGAGTGTCGGCCAGCACGTACCTACCCTGATGTTCGGGGAATATCAGGGTCGGGTGTGTCAACGTGGGCCCTAGGTTGATACATGACGCCTAGTCATTGTCCACATGGAAGGCACGTTACAAGTTAACTGCTGTTTTAATAGAAAACTTAACAAATGCATGAAACTATCTAAGAATTATCATTTTGGGTACTAGACTAGGATGAAAAAAGCTTGATGTATGAAATGTTGAAAACCTAGAAATTTTAGGGTAGTATTAACTAAGATTTACCCTAGTTTTTAATTTTTATTTTTAATGTCCACGTGGCACCCAATTATTGTCCACGTGGGTGCCACGTCATTAGTTAACGGAGGTTATGACGAAAAACTTAACGGATGTATGAAAGTATTCCAGAATTATGACTTTAGGTACCAAACTGGAATGAAAAAAAACTTGTACTTAACTCCTTGTTTGAATGTAGTTGACTACTCATATCTATTCGAGCTTGATGTGTGTTTTTTTTTTTTTTTTAATAGATAATTTGAGTGGTATTATGACTTGAAAGGAGAAACATACAACACTTTTCTTTTTGAATGAGTGAAATGCTATTTACGATTCACGACTATTAACTGTCAGATTTGTTGGTGAGAGCTAGTAAATCGTTGCTACGATCTTCAAGGAACTTTGACCAAAATTTGAAGGTAGTTGAATGAAAGGCTGGTGGAAGTGCATAGCTTTCGGAGAAACAAAAGAATGAAGAAAGCTAAGCAATCTCACGAAATTTGATTTGTCTATAACATATATTTTTTAGTTTAATTTTTAATTTTTAATAATTTTTTAGTAAGGACGTATGTGTGTTCATTCAGACATTCCCAATTTTTATATATAGTTCGAGAAGTACCTTGTCGGCACAATGCTTTCTGCAAAGACAAACTCAAGGGGTTGTTCTTGTATTTACCTCCTTTTTCCAAGAATCTCCACTTCGAAACTCCCGCCAGCACCTGGAAGCAACACTACCACGGCGGACGGCCTCAATAGCCCCCGGCAGCTGAAGCAACCACAAGTCCCCTCTGATAGTGAACTCCATCAACGAGTACCTCTCACTGACTACAACGACATTATTATCGAGATCCTCTCAAGGCTCCCAGTCAAATCTTTACTCCAATTTCGGTGTGTATGCAAGTCATGGTGCGCTTTAATCTCCGATTCTCATTTGATACGAAGCACGTCAGCCACGCTGTACTCACATGCATCAACAACACCAGAAACTTCACCCTCCTTATCTGGTCCACGTGTATCCACTCCATTGTCCACGTCGCATTGGCGGATCAAGAGAGTGATGCTCATGTTCATGTCACAGGTAAAGAGCCTGATTTTCCAGTGAGGATCCCGGATATTGTTCTTACACGAATTGTGGGTTCCTGCAACGGCTTGATATGCCTAAATGTAAACTGCAACATAATTATCATATGGAACCCTTGTACTAGGCAATCCAAGGTATACCAAAACCTCTTTATTCAGGTTTCGGTTCGCTGTTTTATGGATTTGGTTATGATCCCACCGCGGATGATTACAAGGTAGTCCAAGGATCGTCTAAAACTACATGTGGTTCTAAAGAAGTCGTGATTCAAGTTTTCTCACTCAAATCTGATTCATGGAGGAAGAGTGCTGACGATGATCACATCAATTACTTTCAGTTGAACAGGCAGGGTTGCTTTTTAAACGGAGCTCTACATTGGGTAGAAGTTAATATGTTTGCTTCGCAAATTCTGTCTTTCGATTTAGCAGATGAGAAATTTAAGCATATGTTGCCATTGCCCTACCTCGGCAACAAAAACTATGTCTTTGCGGGAGTTGGTGTTAGTAAAAATTGTCTATTTGTGTATTCTTACCCAATGGAGACGGATCGTCGGATATGGGTGATGAAGGAGTACGGAGTCGCAAAATCTTGGACTAAAGTGGTAAAAATTCCTTCGGATCAGATCCTACCTGAAGAGTGCAAGGAATCTTTCAAGCCTCTATGCATTTTAGAGAATGGTGAAGTTTTGTTGGACTACAAGCGAAACGTATTGGCGTTGTATGTATAATCCGGAGGGAAAGACGTTTAGAAACATTGTTATCGGGACTCAGTCGGAAGTCACCGTTTACATGGAAACGTTAGTCTCGCCAGTTACCGGCAGGGGAACGGTCATCTGAATCAGATCCCCTCGCAATTGTTTCCTTCACATTTTAAGCATTGTAATGTAATATATGTTTGGTTTAATCTTCTACTTCCATACTGTTGATGGATTTTGTAATATTAAGTGTTTTCGACATGTGTATTTTGTCAAATTTTTCTTCCCTTGCATGATTGCCAAATATATTCCTTTGCACTAGATAGTTGATTAATAATCATATGTTTGATGCAAACAATTGTGTATTTCTAGATATAAAATGAAGCTTTCGGAACAATGCATGTGTACAACACTTAGTATTACGGTAAGTGTTATTTTCATTCATTTATAATTAAGAGGTTTAGGTTCAAATTTTGTGAATGTTAAATCCGATACCAATTTATTTCTTTACCCCTTATCGTAAATCTATCGTTATATCATTAGTGGTCTCTACATATGTCTAACTATCAGTTTAACCATTATTTACCATTTTCATTTTCCCCAAATTATTTTTTGACAAACAATATATAATGTACATTAAACTACAAAAAGAGAGATTCAAACACGGAACCACAGGTGCAATGACAAATGCTCTAACCAGCTAAGCTACAAACCACTTACAAGTAGGGTTGGCCACGGGCCAGGTTTATTTTTGGTGTATCCGAACTCAAATTTTTTTACTAAATGAGTCCGAGCCAATCTGGGTTTATATATTTTTATTAGTGGAATTAGCTCATTTGGATTGTTGGATAGGGTCCGGCTCCTACCTATTAAAAATACCCTTTGTCAACCAAAAAGAAGTGAAAAGACCAACTAACACTACCAACAAAACTAAAAAAATAACCAAAATAAAAGTTGTGTGCAATATAATAAATAAAGAGTAATGCAAGGGAGACTAAAATTGTAGACAAAATTTTGAAAACTAAATGACATGGAAATTGATTGGATTATAATTTAAGCGTTGATTAACATGCTCATTCTTATTAGTGACACATCATTTAATTCGCAATTTGGTCTACTAATTTAGTCTCCACAACATCACCTATAAATTAAACTGAAGTCCCCTAAAAACCTCCCTAAGTCAATCTATAATTTCCAGCAAACCAAACAAAAAACTAAAAGGTGGTATTGCCTATGAGGCAAGGGTCTGTATGGTCTGTTTTAGACAATACACAATAGCCTCTAAGCACTACATTTTTTAAAGTTAATTAAGACCAACAATAACATCGACAACACCAAAGTTAAGGCCAATAAAGGTTGCCAGGGACAACACCTAGCCTTTCCTTAATAGCACTTGATTCACTAAATTGTCTAAGTTGGTCCATGAAGAACCAATTGGTTCAGTGGCCTTTTCTGCCAGTTTCTTCCACTGCATGGCCTTATTTTTCATTTTCTTACCCTTCTCTCCCACAATTATCTTTTTGACAATCTTCGCGACATTGTCTCTATTGGCATCCTTACTGATCTCCATGCCAATACCCCATTCATTACAAGTATAGAGCCAATTTGGTCGTTGCTTGCCAAATAAGGGACAACAGAGCATAGGCACTCCAGCAGACAGACTCTCAATGGTTGAATTCAAACCACTGTGTGTTAAAAACAGTCCAACTGATGGATGGTTGAGGACTTGCTCTTGTGGGCACCAACTTGTTATTAGACTTCTTTCCTTAGTTCCAGCCAAACTCGGGTGGAAAAATTGCCGATTCACCAACTACCAAATTGGATCCAATTACCCAAAAGAATGGCAGCTTGCTATTTGCAAGTCCCCAACCAAACTCAATAAGAAGTTGCGGTGTGACAACCGCTAAACTGCCAAAATTCACATAAACAACATATTTGGTGCCTTGGCGTTTAACCATTTGAAGCACTCCATTTCTTCTTTCCACGGATTACCCATAGCCTCCAAAGGGTCTTCTGGTATCTGATTGAGAAGAAACTGGAGAGGACCAACAGTGTAAACATGTGGAAGCATAGATGACAAAGCATCCAAAACATCTGGCTCCAATGCATCAAAAGTATGAACAACAACTGCTGAAGCTCTATGAACTGCAACAGCTGCTTCCAACATGAAGTTACACTTGATGTAATTGGGATTAGTAGTTTGAAAGGTGATGGGAAGATCCCCTAAACGGATAGCTTTTACTCCTGGATTCCAATCTAAGACCTTACCCAGAAAACCATTTGTGAAGTAACTCTCATCTGCAACGCATAAATATGTCAACAAAAAAATCATTATTTGTTTAGGCACAACCAATTCATCATAAAAATCAAACAGTTGCTTCATTAGCATTTATGTATTGACCTTTGGGAGGTGCAAGTCCTTTTCCCACCAAAGTGGGGTATTGCTTACAGCCCAAGAATCCGACTGCAGCCAAAGTAAAGAACACTGCGATAGGGAGTCCAAGTTCTTTAGCAGCTGTGATAGCAAAAGGCATGAAACCATCTGAAACAATGGAAGTCATTGGAGGACTAACACTACTGTAGGAAATCGCCGTGTCATTGAGTTTTAAGAGGAGGTTGCGAAATGGAGCCAAGAAGTTTTTTCTCATGGAATCACATAGCAAAGAGAGGTTTAGGGATGTTGCATCAGTCTCTGAATCTGGAAGGCCATCTGGAATTGTTTCAAACTGACAATCGGGGAAGCCATCAAGGGAGTTTGGTCCTAAAGATTTAAGAAAGTGCCTGTGGTTGAACTCCGTATTGACAAAAGTTACATGAAAACCTCTTTAGTGTAGGAGCTTTGCTAACTTGAGCATAGCCTTTATATGGCTTTGAAATGGAAGGGGAATGCATACAGCATGAGGCTTATTACAGACTATAATATTGGAATTCATATCTTAGATTCTGTGGTTTGAACTTACACTAATGTAGCACAAGTTTATAGGTCTAACAACATTTCTGTGCAAGATCCGGCTGCCATCTGACATTGAGTTGTAGAAAGAGACAAGGGTATAGAAATAAGTAATGGGACAGCTTCGGCAGGGTTTTGTTCCTTTTTCTACTTTCGTATAGGTTGAAATGGAACCTTTGCACAATAGCCTTGAATAACTCAATTTTATTTGCTCTCAAAGACCAACACATCAACAACAAAATTATGTTGTCCTCAATACTTGAGCATGTCTCTTAATTGTCCTAAATGTCAAGATTTTAGAGTCACATTAGTTGCTCACTACTAATTACACTGATATTGTCCCCACTTAACCATTTGCACCACTTAACCACTTACACAACGCGACATGTGTTAGGTCTTATCACAAAAGTCTCGGTGTTATTAGTAGTGAATCCATTTATTTATAAGTAGTCATATATTACGTCAAATTTTTTATGCATAATTGCATTCTTCAACGCTAGAACTCGATGAAGTAATTTCAGTCTGATACATGAAGTACCAAAGCTTGGAATCAAAATGATATGACCATAAAACCGAAAAGATAGGAAAATATTGAAATTAAATTGCAGGCCGGCCATTCTAAAAGTTTCAGAGAGCACCACAATTCGTGGTTTCTGGCATGGCCGCCAGTTTAAAATTGGTTCAGCAGGTCTAAACCCTAAAAACTAGAATCTTGAAGGATTTTACCATATTCCGACAGGTTTGCTATTCTTTGTTAGACTACCAGCCTATGTATTGGTGTCGACTAGTCCCTACTTTAATTTTGATGATTTTGCTAACACGTTTGTAACCAAGTTCAAATCCCCTTCTCCAGAAAAATATCATAACATAATTCTTCAGCTTCATTGGAGCAAAATAATTTTGATGAGCCTAAAATAATTCAAGAACCACGTACCATACAGCTGACAGAGCTCATAAGACAATTTTAAAGAACAGACAAAAGCTAAAGCACGATGATGAGATCATTGAATATCGCCACGCACCCCTTGTTAGCATTGTTTAAACATGTATTTGTTACTTAATTGTATAATCTATACAGATTAACATGACTTAATGCATAATCTATACAAATTAACTAACTTAGTTGCGTAATCTATTCAAGTTACAGATCACTACAAAGTAATAAACAAAGAAACCAACGTGTAAGTGAGTAGTTTTCATTGAAAATCGGGAAACTTATTGTATGCATGGTATTACGAACAAAAATCCTACTCTTACCACCAATTTGTACCATTTCTCTAATAGAGATGGGACCCATATGCATTGCCAGGCCTATCTCTATCAGTAATAGTACAAACGATGATACAAATAAATGATAAGTGTAGCGTTACTCTATTACGAAACACAGCCACGGTGATGCATGGTTCACCATTCATAATCAACTTAGAAGCTTACAGAAAGATTAAGAACAATTCAATGCGAGAGAGAGAGAGAGATTTCTGTAAAGAATTGCTAATTCTCATTAACCCCTCTTCGAACCGTAGAATTAGCTATTTATAGTAACTACAACTAATAACCACTAAGCTTACTATGTAAGCTACCTCTTGTACTAATAACATCTATCACCAGATACAATTGCCACCTGGCATTCTTGATAACTATAGCTATTACCCCCCCCCCCCCTTCAAGCTTAACCTGGGGTTCCAAGGTTAAGATTGATACAATGCCGAACAAAAACAGGACTATGAAGTCCCTTGGTAAGAATATTAGCTATTTGGTTTGTGGTAGAGACATATTGAACTAGCAAATCACCCTTTTATACTTTTTCCCGAACGAAATGAAAGTCAGTATCAAGATGTTTGATACGAGAGTGGAAAACCGGATTAGTACTGAATGCCAAGGCTGAAATGTTATCACAATTAAGAACAGGAGCAGATGGAAGATAAACATGAAGATCTCATAGCATATTTCGAATCCACCAAACATCAACAGCACAGTGAGCAAGGGCCTTATATTCAGCCTCAGTGGAACTCTGAGAAACAGAGGATTGTTTCTTGGATTGCCAAGAAATTGGATTGGAACCCAAATAAACTAGATAACATGT